ATCTTTATCTGTGTATTAGCTGTTTGCCTGGAGTTCAGCTTTAGACATACTGGCAAACTTTGTGGTTTCATCATGAACTGACATATGTAAGTGAGACCCACTTTTATAACTTGCAGAACACTTGGCTCATTTCTGCCATTAAAGTAAAGGAAGAGAAATAAGCCAGGCTGGATTCTATAGTGTCAGTCTCATAGTATCTTTGGAAAAGAGATAAGTGCAGGATTGTTGTTGGATGTGCATGGAAAGAAAGGAAATGTGTCAAGAGAGCTGGTCATTGAAGACCCCTTCTTTCATGTGTATGTTCCATAGAGAATTATGACGCTTGGACCTATGACTACAATCTGACTCTGTACAATCCCCCTCCGCAACAGTAATGTCTACACATGCTATGAAGATTATTCAGGCTTGCATGTGATGACCCAACTCTTACATCTCTACAAAGAGGGGGAATTATAGGCCATCATCCAAGAAGTAACATCCCATCCAACATTGGCAACTCAGAGATGCCTGCTACAATCTAATATGCATCATAGATGGCCAATGCTCATCCAGTGATGACCAGCTTATGTATTAGATAATGAAAATCTAATGAATGCGGGAATTCATGGGGGAGGGTGGAATTGATCAAAACTGGAGCAGACAGAATCTGGAGCAGCTTGTCTCTTCAGTTTTGTTCAGTTACGCTTTGACAATAAAAGAGAAAAGCTGATTAGTTGCCATGCACAGCTGCTCCAGTTTTGATAAATTGCCCTTGCTACATTTATTGGCTATAGATCGCTAGGTATCTCATTAAAGAGCAACTTTAGTAGTGCCAACTGCACATTATTACGGGTCACACTGTGTTTTTTGCTTCATATTGTCTATGTGTTCGATGTTTTTTCTGTTGAACTCAATAAACTTGATTTGACTAAAGAGCAACTTTACCCATATCTTCAAAATAACAACAAAGCCCCCTTTAGAAATGTTTGTTAATGTCAATCTACAAACACATACTTCTAGATAATTGCAGGCTTTGCATATCTTATTTTTCTTTTGCTCCCCATTCTTCTGACAGCGGCCATTTTTACTAAGGGCAGATTAATCCATCTCCCTTTACTTCCTGGAACTCTGGCACATGTTACTAGGACATGTGACCATGCACATCATCTCAGAGGAGGAAAATGCCTTTCCCTGAGATCTCATGAGATTACAAGTGAGATTTCTCAGCAATGGTCTGCTGATGTAAGCTTCCCAGGCAGCAACGCTTGTTCACATTACATGATTTGTTCTAGAAGTAGACCAGGAAGTAGAAAACAAGAAATTGTAAGTAAAATACAAATATATTTGTTTAGCTAATGAATGTAAGATGATTTCGTATCTGGATGCAGAGCTATATGCTGATGTGATTTTTTGTTAAAGGGTAAAGGTCCACTTTAAGAACAATGGCCATTGAAACATCTGCCTATCACTGAACATAGCAGCACACATAGATCTATACTTTCCTATCCTCCACATTGTTGTCCACTACCCGGAGGCTCTTTACATGTGCCCCGTTGCTTAATCACTGATTACTCATTTATATAGTACCAACATATTCCACACTAAACCATTCCCCTTGATCCCTGTCACCATGTCCCTACTGCAGACATACAGACAAATACACAGTCGGCCAATTAACCTGCCAGTAATTTGTGGCGACTGTGGGACGAAACTCACTCAAATGTACAAATCTCATGTGAACATGGAGTCCTTGGTAGTAATTTAAGTCTGCATCTGGCATCATAGAGTGAAAGGAAAGTTAGACTATTGATACTTTCATGTCTTACATTCCGATGTTATTATTTATGTGGGAAAACAAACATGTTATTTTTGTATGGAGATCAGACATTCCAAAAGACTAAAGAGAACAGTAAACAGAGAAGCATCGAACCATTTACATCTCATAGTATAATAGTTTCTGAAGACAATATGTACTATGAGCGGAGTGTTCACTTCCTCACTGGTGATGTATCTGAATGAAGTGTGAGAAGCAGAGATGATGGAGAGTATACAGGCCAGAGGGGGTTATGTATTCCAGGTATGACCCTTAGCACAATGGAGTCATTTACTGTCTGTGTGGGAGCAGACTCTCATATGCCTTCTCTATTGAATACAAAGCCAGCTATGTACACTCCATTGTGTCTGCGAGCCTTAAACATGCGTCTCACATTGACTAGAAAGAAATACATTTGTACTAGTTATCAATATTGTTCTGTCCTTCAGGTACATGCAGGTAAAACACGGGACAGAATATACAGTTATAAACATCTAGATGAACCTGTTGGGCAGCAGAGCTGATTTAGCTCAGATACACTGGGGTTAATTTACTAAAGAATTGCATTTCTCACTTTGCTCAGTGACGTTGCCATTTCAGTCATCTATCATTTTCTCTTTTTTGCTCTGCACATAATTGGGTGTTTGAAAGCAAACAAAGGTCAACTTGGTTTAGAGAAAGATGTACTGCTTTAGTGAATTGTCTCCACTCTGTGTGAAGTCGTGATCTCAAAACTAGACTGCAGCACTTGTGTTGGAAGGTGTGTGTGTGTGTTTGTTGGGGGGGGGGGCTAATTTAATTCTGGGACAGGTTTAAGTTTAAGAATCTCCTTTAAATGCAATAAAGGCAACGAGTGGGAAAAAAAGTGTATCCTTAACTGTGTGCTAGGCTTCCTTTAGTGCAGGGGTAGGTGACCTCAGCACTCCAGCTGTGGTGAAACGGAAAATCCCATCATGCCTCTGGGAGTCATGCCTGTGGCTGTTAGTCGTGCAATGCCTCATGGGATTTGTACTTCCACAACAGCTGGGGTGCCGAGGTTGCCTAACCCTGCTCTAGAGCTTAGCCCAGTTCCCACTTCTGTCTGGTTCAATCTCCTGGTACTTCTCAGTATGGGGGAACAGGCGACTCTACTACAATGCGGTGTTCCTAATCAACTAATGACCAGCCGCTGGTCTACACTAATGAATGGAAACCAGTCAGCATTGGTTCTGATCATGTGACCATCATGAGAAGCAGCATTAAGAGGTTATTTACATACTGTAATGTAAGTGAGTGTGGTGAGTACAGATATACCATACTAGCAGCAAACAATTCCTGGTAGCTTCTACTTTAAAAGGTTTGCAGGCACCATCCATTGCTTCATTTCACGCAAGTGTATCAATACATTCTATGCTTGTATTTTCAGCAGGGGAGCTCAGCAATGGCACCCTCCAGGTTTTTGCCACGATAGGTTCCCTTTAAAATTCTGAAGTGAAAATGTGATCCTTGTGAGGAATTTGTGAGAGGTGTTACAATTTTTGTGGCTGATGGATTTCCAGTGGAAACTTTGTTTTTGTTGCATTGCAGCCTGACCTTGTCCTTTCTACTCGGGAACATGCTGAGTGAGAACCCGCATCTTACTCAGAGGAAGGTTTGTTGCTGGACACAGTGACCTGTAAAGAGAATCGCTTTGTGCCGGAGCCATTTCACTGTCATATGTAAAACATAGGGGTGAAAGATGGGGGGGAGTGAGGAGTGAGCTGTAACGCTCCCTGTTTACTAAGTAATACTCTAACATTTGTATATAAACTTTAATAAAAGTTCATAGGTTAGGAAGAACCCACATGAATATATTTATAATGATACTGCAGTGATTCTAGGAAATTATGTTGGCTATTGGTAAATATAAATAATAAATAGATATCTTATTCCCCTCTCTAAGGAAAGTTTGGATCTTTATTACTGCATTGTGCCTAACTCTAATCCACAAGTTTTAATGTTACATCTTTTACCCAGGTGTCTCCTCCTCCTTTATGTCAGGTGGGAAAGGTTATATTCCTTCATATGAAGGCCATACCTCCCAACAGTCCCTCATTTGGAACCAAAATCCCTATGTTCCTCTTTCCTCCTCAGCGGTCCCTCTTTTTGGCCTGATTTACAGATATCTATGAAAAGGTTCTATTTAACTACCAAAAGTGTTATTCTGCACTAAAGGTGGCCATACACTGTACAACCCTCGCAAGACTTTTGTCTTGCAAGGGTTGTAAAGTAATTTAAAAAAGTACAATCTGCCCATCTTGGACAGGCAGATCGTACTTGCGATCATCGCAAGCCTGCCCCGCTGAGGGGCGGGCTTCCGATGACTGCAATGCTGAACGGGCAGTGTGCGCGTGCGAACACACTGGCCCATTCAGCAGTTGTTGAACAAGCACGCCACTTGTTTGTGGGGGGGGGGGGTCTAATTCTGGGACAGGTTTAAGTTTAAGAATCTCCTTTAAATGCAATAAAGGCAACGAGTGGGAAAAAAAGTGTATCCTTAACTGTGTGCTAGGCTTCCTTTAGTGCAGGGGTAGGTGACCTCAGCACTCCAGCTGTGGTGAAACGGAAAATCCCATCATGCCTCTGGGAGTCATGCCTGTGGCTGTTAGTCGTGCAATGCCTCATGGGATTTGTACTTCCACAACAGCTGGGGTGCCGAGGTTGCCTAACCCTGCTCTAGAGCTTAGCCCAGTTCCCACTTCTGTCTGGTTCAATCTCCTGGTACTTCTCAGTATGGGGGAACAGGCGACTCTACTACAATGCGGTGTTCCTAATCAACTAATGACCAGCCGCTGGTCTACACTAATGAATGGAAACCAGTCAGCATTGGTTCTGATCATGTGACCATCATGAGAAGCAGCATTAAGAGGTTATTTACATACTGTAATGTAAGTGAGTGTGGTGAGTACAGATATACCATACTGGCAGCAAACAATTCCTGGTAGCTTCTACTTTAAAAGGTTTGCAGGCACCATCCATTGCTTCATTTCACGCAAGTGTATCAATACATTCTATGCTTGTATTTTCAGCAGGGGAGCTCAGCAATGGCACCCTCCAGGTTTTTGCCACGATAGGTTCCCTTTAAAATTCTGAAGTGAAAATGTGATCCTTGTGAGGAATTTGTGAGAGGTGTTACAATTTTTGTGGCTGATGGATTTCCAGTGGAAACTTTGTTTTTGTTGCATTGCAGCCTGACCTTGTCCTTTCTACTCGGGAACATGCTGAGTGAGAACCCGCATCTTACTCAGAGGAAGGTTTGTTGCTGGACACAGTGACCTGTAAAGAGAATCGCTTTGTGCCGGAGCCATTTCACTGTCATATGTAAAACATAGGGGTGAAAGATGGGGGGGAGTGAGGAGTGAGCTGTAACGCTCCCTGTTTACTAAGTAATACTCTAACATTTGTATATAAACTTTAATAAAAGTTCATAGGTTAGGAAGAACCCACATGAATATATTTATAATGATACTGCAGTGATTCTAGGAAATTATGTTGGCTATTGGTAAATATAAATAATAAATAGATATCTTATTCCCCTCTCTAAGGAAAGTTTGGATCTTTATTACTGCATTGTGCCTAACTCTAATCCACAAGTTTTAATGTTACATCTTTTACCCAGGTGTCTCCTCCTCCTTTATGTCAGGTGGGAAAGGTTATATTCCTTCATATGAAGGCCATACCTCCCAACAGTCCCTCATTTGGAACCAAAATCCCTATGTTCCTCTTTCCTCCTCAGCGGTCCCTCTTTTTGGCCTGATTTACAGATATCTATGAAAAGGTTCTATTTAACTACCAAAAGTGTTATTCTGCACTAAAGGTGGCCATACACTGTACAACCCTCGCAAGACTTTTGTCTTGCAAGGGTTGTAAAGTAATTTAAAAAAGTACAATCTGCCCATCTTGGACAGGCAGATCGTACTTGCGATCATCGCAAGCCTGCCCCGCTGAGGGGCGGGCTTCCGATGACTGCAATGCTGAACGGGCAGTGTGCGCGTGCGAACACACTGGCCCATTCAGCAGTTGTTGAACAAGCACGCCACTAACCCGCTGAGAATCGTACGATTCTCGGCCTGCTTCCAGCCTGCTTGTTCGACGGAAGACGTGTGATCGTACAGTAGAAACGGTCGCACGCCTTCCATACACTTTGCGATTATCGTACGATCGCAGGATTTCCCGTGATTATCTTACGATAATCGTACAGTGTATGGGCACCTTTAGACCTCCATCCTATCCCTTAATTATCATGTTTGCTATTTTGAAAAGCCAGTATAAAGGAAAAGTAATGGTGAAAAAAAATAATTAATCTGGGTTTAACCAATAATTTTTTTGGCATATAAATTCGTAATGGGGTGTGTCCACTGACTAAACACATTGTGCTGGAAGGTGTCCCTCTTTTCATCTCCGAAAGTTGGAAAGCATGCAAGGCTGATGGTGTTGGGTTGAAGGCATGCCAGGTATTGGTATCAGGAACTTGACTCTCAGGAAATATATGGCCATGATGACATGATTCTAGATTATTATGGAATAACCATTATTTGCTTTTTCTGCCAGATTTATTTCTTGGGAACCATGATAATTTATGCATAAAAATAGTTGAAATTAGAATGGTGTCATTTGGAATTTTAACAAACAAAATGGGCAAAACTACTCTTGACTAGGTAGCAGCTCGTCATGGGTTTTTAATTGGCTTCAGTGGCTATAGAATTTATAGGACAGCTGTCAATGTTTCTCAGTTAGGGCCTAGTAACACTGGAGCATTGCACTAAATGGAGATTACTGTGCCTTTAGCACACTCTATCACACAATGCATCTAGAGTGCAGTGCCATGCGCTAGGTGCATTGCCATTCTTCTAAATTGCACCCCAACACATCTTTCAGCATGAGGTACCGCAAAATATTGTTGTGGAGTGAAAAAATAGTGCAATGTCTTTTTTTTTTTAACCGCAATGCACGGTATTCCGTCAAAGCACTTTAGAAGCACCAGTGAATGAAAATATGTATTTCAAGAGATCATTTACAATATACTTAAAGTGCATTTACACAATAAACTGTTTACATCAAGTAGTAGTAAAATTGCTTTATATTAAGCCATCACTGACCTCTCTAGATGCTTTTAATGTGAACTTATTCATTCTCAGAGATCCTCAAAGATCACAACAAAGAGTCCGGTTTCAGTCAGTTTCTAACATCTTACAAGTTTACATTAGATGACTGGCAGGCGGCCAAGATCTGCTCTTAGACTAAAAGCTAAGATTTCAATGTCTGAGAAAATTTTCTCAACAATGCTTATAAATACAGAGGTGAATGAATGAATGAAATACTTTACCTGCTTGTTCAGAATATGCAAACACTTTAGTGTGAATGATCTGTCTGGGCACAGGCTCTATTTAGGGTAGACAGCAAATGGCTGCTGTGTGATCCAACCAATTGTATCTGTTTAGGGGCAATTCTCTGGGTGGCTGTTTAGCATGGATGGGGAAGTCGAGAATGTTTTCCCATTGGGCTAAATGAAAGTGTGTATGAGCAGCCCAAGGCTACATTCGCACAAGCCTACGTTTGGTTTATTTAAATGCAGGAGAAATGATTTGGGAAGTGTGACTTAATATTATGCTTCCCGGACCAAGTTCTCCTGTGTTTATATGTACCTGTGTTTACATATATTTTCACGCAGTAACATGCATTTAGAAGCATTCAATCTGCCCCTGGTTCAGGATAGTGTCAGGTATACTATTTAAAATCATAACATGCATTTAGAAATGTCCTGTGCATGCATATAAATGTCATTGTCAGTGTGATTGAGGCATAAGCGTCTTAGGGAAAGACCTACAGACAGGCAGGTATTGTACAGTAACATCAGGCAATATTGTAAGCAGACACACTTGTCTTTCTAGAAGTGACTGTGAAGTCATGTAAAATCGTCATAAGCATCTTAAAAAAAGAAAATTACATTTGATCAGGACTCCGCTTTTGTAGAATTGTTTTTCCTCGGTTTTTGAGCTTTATACTGCACTTTTTCTTACACCAGCTAATCCAGTATATTAACCAACCGCAGAGCAGATGATGGGTAAAGGTAGAGAATTTATATAAAAAAAAACACTAAACAAAACCTCCAATGGACTCTTTATAATGTCTAGCTGCAAGAAAGTAACACCTTTTATAATGCCCCCTTGGAAGGAAGCAGTGATGAAAATGACTCCCACATATATCTAGCTTTTGCAACCACAAGAGATGCAAACAGACAGTGAAGGATTCACCCACACCATAAAATGCCATATCTGGAGTGGAATATGTGTTACAAATGATGGTACGAAATTGTATCCTGGAAACAAAGTGTTTAATGTCTTTTTTTCTATTATCAGGTGGTAACAGCCCATATACAGCGGCAACAAAGAGAGGTCCAGACACGCAGAAAGCGGGTATGTACATTATAGTTTTGTAAATAAGTTACATATAGGGCTAGGTGTGACTGCAAGGTTAATGACCCATATAGAATTATGGTACAAATGCAAAGTGCAGGTTTAGATTTTTGCATTGAATGTGGTGTTATGTTTGACTTTAGCTGTGACAGGATGAGATCTTTGACCTAATCTGGCCAATCTCAGCTGGCTCAGGCATTTTCATCTCTTTGGCATCTGTGGGTACGACTGCCCGAGAGATCTTGTTCACTATGGTTTGTCCTGAGCTATGCAGATAGCTGCATGCTGCTCCCTTTTCCTGACTCCATAAGGTGAACAGACCATTTACAAGAGATCAGATGACATGGCAGAGCATACTCTTGTGTCTACACATCACCAGGACAATTACCTGTGTGCTTTAAGAGCAGCAGAGGACATCAATAGAGGACATGATGAAGTCCTGTCTGTATTGTAAAAAATCCAGATCCCCTGCATAACAGCAGGCAGCTTGATCAGCTGTTGGTAACCATAAGTGGAGGAGGAATAGGGGACTTAAAGAAAAATAACATTTACCCTCCATTTACCTTTTGTGTGCTCCTGTGGTGTGGCATCTGCTCCTGTGCTCATAGTGCTGGATAAGCTCTGATCTGGAGTGAAGAATAATATTTTCCCCCTTTTCAAACCATAAGAGACTTTCCTGATTAGTTGTCCTATATTTGGTGAGACATTTATGTTTAAGGTACCTGATTAATGAGAGCAGCAGCTCCCAGAGAAGTTAATTTATGCCCATTGACATTTTGTTCGCTCATTGAAGAGATTTGGCTTTCTATTACACTAGGGCTGCCCATACACTAGAAGTTACTTTCATTCAGTTTGCAGACTAAACAGTTGGGTCCAGAGGGGGGCCATACACTACTCAAATTTTGGCTGCGTCATTAGGACTTGGCCAAAATTTGAGAAATGTGTGTTCAGCTTTACATGGTTACTCTCGAGCATGATCTGTGTGTCAATATTCTAAATGCAAGCTGCCTGGCTATAATATTGATCCACTGACTTCAGTGCTTTCCAAGGCACTGATCCTGAACAAATATGTAGCTCAGGAGTACTAACTTCACTGCCTGCTCCAAATCAATGAATTAGAAAGTACTGATAATCATGCCAGTGAGGGATAAAGCATTTTTCAGAAGGTGGTCAGCAAAAGCAGACTGTAAATTTCTCTCAGCAAAGGATTCCTTCATGTGAATTGAGACCTAAATAGTGTATGGAGCAAGCATTTTACAGAGGGAAGCCTTGAAGTTGCACCAAGTATTTGCATACATCAAGCGGTGGTAAAGCTTACACTTTATTAAGCATGCCTTGATGTGCTGACGGAGCTTGAACCTTTAGTCTGACTTGCAGTTCTGTTTGAATGATCATTATTGACTTGTCTGAAGACTCGCAGTCAGCTTTGAAAAGATATGACTGGTAGGAGAGCCTTTCAGTGTTCATTTTACTTTATAACACTTGCTGAGTTTCACTCTTGTACTATCAGCAATGCTGAGTTTGAGTTGCATACCTCAAGAAAGGGCAACAAAAAAAGTTTAAAGAATTAGAATTTTATTTGTAGAAAAATATTGTTAAAATTGGTTTGAATGGTTAGCAATTCATGTTCTGCATCAGCTTATTTTACCAAGAATTTAACCCTGATTTTACTCACAAAACAATTTGATGAAATGAAGAATAACACTAATGAGTGACCGAAAAGATGGGGGCCTTGTCACACATAGCTCTAAGCATAGTGGACTAAAAGGGCGTCATGCAGTCCCCCCAAAAAATAGCGGTTTGGCGTATATGCTGTAGTGGCGATAGAAGTACAAAAATTTTTATTCTTTCTATCAACAGATGCTGGTTAGTTACAGTATTATGTAATTCATCTGACAGACCAAGGAAACTTCTCTGATCATTTCCGTTTTCATTTCAAATAGCACGTAGATCCAGCAGGAAGCTTCGTTCCGCTGCGCCGATCCAAGAGAAGGTGGGTTCTCACTACGATCGTCTTGGAGGAAAATGACCGTGGACCCTTCCCAAAGAAAGCTGGAGATGTAAGAAAAATACTTTTATTAGTTTTTTTTTTTTTTTTTTTTATTAATGTATGCTGACAAACCTGTTGTTTACAGATAAGAAGAACTATGGCTGGCCTAACTGAAAAGTAGGATCATGTTATTTCGCTAAAAAAAGCAAACAACAAATATGGAAATATAAATATCATGATTTGCATTTACCTCTTCTTCTTCTTAGCTGTATGGAGGTAGCCGGCTTATGCTTTATGCCTGTATCAGCACCTTCAGCTACTGTATATCACATGGACATCAATAAGTACATTGAAACAAATAGGAGAATTGTCCATTATTTTATGGGAGGAGCTCTTCTTTTTTCCTCTATTCACTGGAGGACTTTGCCTTTTACCTTGGTTGTAATTATATGCACATAGGGCATTCATAGATATATACAGTATCTTGCTAGTCGGCCCTGCTGGCTGTCAAAATACCTGAACAATCTGATTGGATGCAGGCATTGTTCAAGTATTTTGAGAGCCAGCGGGGCCGACTAGTAAGATACTGAAGCTTGGCCCAGCTGGAGATTCCTCCATACTTAGCGTAGATGGAGGAATCTGTAGCACTTTTTCCATCTGACCATAGAAAATCTGCACATGATCTATAGGTGTATGGCCAGCTTTAGACTTTCCTTCTTTAGGGTTTAATAGTAGTGGGAACATCAGTTGATGTGCCCCCCATGCTAGTAAACGGTGAAATCTGTCTGTTGTCTTTCTCCTAATATTGTACCAATGCATGTACGCATTGGTACAATATCAGGAGAAAGACAACAGAGGTACGTGATTAGCTCACACGATTTCAGGCAGGATCAACGAGTATTTATTTTTGCATTACTCAGAACTAACAAAACACTTCCAAAGTTGTATTTAACACACCAAAAAGGATCGATTTAAGAGAAGGTCATTCCTAGGAGTTGCATTCTCTTTAAGTGAGATTTTGAAGAGGAACAGAGATGCTTAATTTACGGAAATGTTAATACTCAGAGTTGTAAGGAAAGAAGGGTGATAGAAGCAGGATCCTCATCTGACATTTCTGGCTGTGTATTATAAGCTGCCCCTTATATCACAACTGTGCAATGTTTCTAGCTCTTCAATGACCGGGCAGAAAACTACTCCATCAAGTATCTGATCAGTGGTCCTGGAGTGGATGAACCCCCGGAAAAAGGCTTGTTCCATGTCAATGATCTCACCGGGGAGGTGTATGTGAACCGAGCTATCGACAGGGAGAAGACACCTTTGTTTACTGTGAGTATGATTACCACAAGATTTTATATATCTCATAATAAACCACCCTCAGGCCATGTCCCAATATCCCACTATTAAAACGAGACACTGTAGCAAGAGGACAATGTTGCTTTCAGCCCAGAAAACAAGTTCTAGAAGATTGCAGTAGGACATCTGTCTGTAACAAGCTCCAGTGTCATCGTACAATATTCTCAGGCGTCATGGTACTGTAATATCATGATTTCTGAATAACGAGTCAAACACATTTTTATATAGATTGTCTGTGGCATAATATTAGGGCACGTGTGATATCTGATATGATCAATTCTTCATGTATGATCTAGCTTTAAGAAAATCTGTGCCAAGAGCAGTGAAGGGGCGGCCATTGCTGACATCTGTGTAAAAATACGAGTTGCTTGGCTGTCAGGCCAAACCTCTGATTATATTCCTTCCTGAGTCACTGACCTGGAACTTTCAAGCAGCCAGTAAAGACAAAGCACAAACGCAGAACCTCTTGTATATGCACTTGCTTCGGGACAGTGACTCGGAAAGTAGGGAAGTCGGGTCCCTGGGTAGAAGGGGCAAGGTCAGGGAACAAAGAAACAATAACAACGTTTCTACTTGAAATTATTTATTCACAAAGTCCAAAGACTTGGCCAACATTTTGTGGAGACAGGTCCTCATAAGAAACCTGTTGTAACAGAAACATGGAGGGCACCATTGCTGTCTTCCTTGGCTTCAATACTTTGAGTCACCGATCTAGAGCAGTATGCAGATAAAGACATGTTAAGATGCTGATAAATTGTAAATCAATCATGTAAAATGTGCAGTGCCACCTAAGGCCTCATTCACAGTGTCGGCCCATACAGATCCATGCAGCATGCACGGCCGTATTGGGCCGTTTCCGTATTGACTGATCATATTGTAATACAGCACAGTGATCTTGCTTCACAGGTGGCAATCATAGAGTCAACAAATACTTCACATTGTGCTGGCTCTAAGTTAGTAAGCAGTAAAATGAAGTTGGCAATGGGCTACTTCATTACTCTGCTTATAAACCAGAATATTGATCATTACGTTCTTTGTGGCTATAGTACCGAGTCTCTTTCCTCCTGACTAATAACTGCATTTTTGTCTGTACAGGTGCGTTTCGATGTTGCAAATAGATTGGACGGAAGCATTTTGGACAAATCTCTCATTTTTAATGTAGAAGTGAGGGATTCAAACGACAATGCCCCCAGATTTTCTCAGAGCGTGTATAATCTCACCCTGAAAGAGACCACCAGACTCGGTTAGTATATGAGTGTTATATTACCATAATTAAATCTTTTTATGTTTCTGTGGGTTTGATCTGTAGACCTGAAGGTTTAAGAGTGGAACAATGTACAAATGTTTGTAAAGAACCGCTCCATCCAAACATATTAGGACAGTTTTAGCAAAATCATACTTTTCTCTTCTTGGCAGCTGGAGGCAGACATAAACTTTAATTATGGCTCCTGCTGCCTGAGAACATGGGCAGTTAGCTATCAGGCATTAATACATAACTCTTCTTATTCAAGATGCTGCTGGGCTGTGAACGTTCTTGTTTCTAAAGTTCTTTGGCTTTCATTATAATTCTTGTTTTGCTATCTAGTGAGTCCCTGTCCTGGATTGAGTGTGCAGGAAAGGAGTTTAGAGTTTGTGTGCTTTAATGCTGTATGCTATTTCTAGGTCAGGGATTCGCAGGCAAGTTAGGAAAGCACTGGAGCCTGCACATTGGTTGCTCATTGCAGGTTCACTTTAATAACTTGGAGTGACTTTTAAAGCTCTGGGCCATCTCATGGTGCCAGATGACACCGACCAGGTATGAAGATGAGAAATCTGTAACAAATGGGTCCCTGTGGTGCAGTTTAGCTCACCGTAGTTTAACAAAAAATTGTACATTATTGAATAGCTGTTTATTGTTTCATCAACATGGTTTGACAGGGTTCCCTTTTAATTTCAGATAGTCCAATTTTCCAAGTCATAGCAACAGATGACGACAAAGAAGACACCCCAAATTCTCAATTTGATTATTATTTGATCAAACAGATACCCGACCTTCCAAATGTCAAATTCACTGTTGATTCTAAGAACGGACTGATTCGTGGAGACGGCTGCTTGAATTATGAGGTGGGTTGTTCACAGCAATAATCATCATCATTATTATTATTATTATATACATTTATCAATAATATATCATTATAAAATTAAATTTTATGCTATGGAACAAGGGTATTTATTTTTAAAATGCAGCACTGCTAATACTCTCCTTAGCTTCAGAGGGAGACAGGGGGATGGCCTGCCCCTGGAAGGCTGCCTCTGTCTATTGGCACTGCAGAGGATACCACCCAATGGGTATAATCTGTCATTCTGAGAGAGAATAGATATTTCTACTGACAAAAGGTACTTGGTATGGCAACACCATCCTATTACAGGTTTGAATTTGTAAGTGAAAGGACCACATTTGCACAGGTCACAGATTGGATGCAGGGCCTGCAACACTGACCAGGAAGCCATAGTGACCTGAGCACCCTGGGTTTGTTGGGTGTGGTGTGTTATACAGCAGCCTTGAGGTAGCATGTAGGTGCCAGATACCTGTTGTGAGTGACACTTCTTTTTATGTTCTTCCCCTCAAGGTCCATAGACATACAATTTACAGTATATGCTGAGCTCATATAAGGGTAGGATGGAACATACATTTATGTGAGGGTTACTTTGATATGTGTATTCAGCTCTCATATGGTCATCCCAGTTGTAATTTAGAATGATATGTATGGTTAGCATGCATCCTATCTGGGTTTGGATGTTTCAGTGGATAGACAAATCCTGTACATATGAGGCCCCTTATTTCCAAGTAATGGAGAGATGAAGGTCAGCTATTGACCAAAGGATGTTGGTGGAATTAGGGAAGAGAAGAGACACATGCACTGCTGATGAAGAGGGTGCCTTGTTGTTTCCTTGGATTGCAGTACATCTGTGGAATATTTATGGCAGAAATTCTAGCTGGCTAATCACTTTTTTCTTTTCCAGGCCTCAAACTTTATCCGACTTATTGTTGGAGCCAAAGACAAAGGAGCTGGGTCTTTATTCAGTACAACTACTGTTAACATGCTCATCCAGGATGGGAATAACAATATGCCAGTGTTCACTAGTGGTGACAAAGTGAGTATCTTTTGTAGTGAGAATCTTACTGTTTAAAATACACCCGCCACTTTGATCAACAGGTACAAGAAAGCCATTGGTTGTTTTTTATTTTTACAGTTTTTAAGGTTTCAATGTATTTTGAAAAGACCCTTATTCTGTATGGATTAGGCTACCGGCCCAGGTTATTAAGCCCATCCCTTCATAGATGCATCTTGCATGGTATATGAATATGTTCGTGTTTGTGTGTATGTATATATATATATATATAGAGAGAGAGAGAGAGAGAGAGAGAATACACACCAATTATCCACAACATTATGACCACTGAAAGGTGAAGGGAATAACACTGATTACCTTGTTAGTGGGATATATAAGGCAGCAAGACATATGGTCTCTAAAGTTGATGTGTTGGAAGGAGAAAAAATGGGGAAGCATAAGGATTTGAGCGACTTTGACAAGGGCCAAAAGTGGTCCAAGGAAGGAAGACTGGTGAGGGAGCAACAGGGTCATGGGTAGCCAATGCTCATTCATGCGCATGAGGAGAGAAGTCTGGCCCGTGTAGCCCGATCCAATAGAAGAGCTACTGTAGCTCAAATTGCTGAGAAGGTTAATGCTGGTTCTTATAGAAATGGGTCTGAATATACAGTCCATTGCAATTTGTTGTGCGTGGGACTGCGTAGCTGCAGACTGGCCAGGGTGGCCATACTGACCTGTTTTCTCCTCCAAAAGCGCCTACAATGGGCATGTGAGCATCATAACTGGACTGTGAAGCAGGTGGCATGGTCTAATGAATCATGTTTTCTGTTACATCATGTGGATGACCAGGTTAATGTATGTCGCTTACCTGGGGAAGAAAGTGCCCCGGGATGCACTAAGGGAAGAAGACAAGCTGGTGGAGGCAGTGTTATGCTTTGGGCAATGTTCTGCTGGGAAACCTTGGGTCCTGCCATTCATGTGGATGTTATCATGATACGCACCATCTACCTAAGTATTGTTGCTGACCAAGTACACTCCTTCAGGGAAACGGTATTCTCTGATGGCAGTGGCATCTTTCAGAAAGATAACACGCCTTGCCACACTGCAAAAATGGTTTAAGAATGGTTTGAGGAACACAACAATGAGTTTACGGTATTGACTTGACCTCCAAATTCTCCAGATCTCAATCCAATCCATCATCTGTTGGATGTGCTGAAAAAACAAGTCTGATCCATGGAGGTCCCACCTCGCAACTTACAGGACATAAAGGATCTGCTACAGACAGCTTGGTGCCAGATACCACAGCATACCTTTAGAGGTCTAGTGGAGTCCATGTCTTGACTGTTGGTGGCAAAAGGGGGCCTACCCAATATTAGGCAGATGGTCAGAATGTTATAGCTGATTGGTGTATATACACACACACACACACACACACACACACACACACTCTGTACCTGTACAAAAATGATCTGTACCAGCAAAGAGGACTATTGCCAGATTTCTTGTTATGCTGTCATTATGTTGTCATTCATGTCAGGCAGTGGTCTACTCCTGAGTGTGATCATTTATAGGAATGATGCATAAAAGCCATAAAGATGCATCTTCCCAATTGCAGCTTGATGCCCGCTGCAGTGCCAATTCACTTTGCTTAACCCTTACCAGCTACTTGGAGAATACATGCATCAAAATAGGGGCATATCTCTATACAGATTGCATCCACTAAAGTGCTGCAATGCTGCTCCGTGGGTCTTCTGTTGCTTGCTTTCCTTATAGAGGTGTTTGGGCACTGTTTTCCCTACCTAGTCCTGTGTCAGTTATGTTGGCTTTAGCAGCTGTGATGCATCTAAGAGTGCCTATAGGGAACCTCCAGGCAAACATCTACAGACAGATAGAAACATATGAGGGACCTGTTTTTTCTGTCAAAGTATTTGCATTCCTATCCATGCAGTGCATGCACAGTTCCATCACACTTTCCTGTAGTTTTTAGCTGTCCCTCCAGCGCTGGTGCGGGTCTCCGATCCAGCGCAGACTCCTCTGTTCTCCTTTTCTCACATGTCCCATGGAGTCTGTGCGGGTGCACCCTGCTCCATATACTTACCTTGTGTCTCTCCTCGTCTCCCGGCGGAACATCTGAACTGCGCAGGCGCCCGCCCGAGAAATTTTCAGATGTTCAGATGGGAGCGCGCAGCGGAGACAAAGGTAAGTATTAACCCTTTGAAAAAGTTTTCTTTTTATCGTTTTGCATATATCTACTGCTTACTAGCCATAGATGTATGCAAAAACCACGAGGGTTTAATAACTCTTTAAGGAATACACTTCTGACACCACTGAATGCATTTAAAAAAATGTCATTTGATAATGCATTATTAAATACATACTGTATCTGTATTCATTTGTGTCTTTTTATATTGGCATGGACATTAAACATTGTATTTCATAGACCTGGTAGGTAGGGATTAACAGCAATGTAAACTTGCTCCTGAGTTGGTGAAGTTCTCCTCATACACACAGGATTTGTTCAGCGTGTAGATAAATCTGGCACCAATTGTTTCTCTGTGGTGAAAAAAAAACTAACAAGGTGGGCACCACATATTTCTGTTGGTTGGAAGTCAGATTGGAAGATTGCAGTGGTTCTCTGTTGGAAGAGTTCTGCCACCCTATACTCTGTGAGTGCTAATAACAAATCTTCCTTTCCAGTATGAACTCTCTGTGCAGGAGGGAGAAGTGAAGGATGGGTTGCTGCGATTAAAGGTCGAAGATAAGGATACACCACAAACTCCGGCCTGGAGAGCCAAGTATAAAATATTGCTTGGAAATGAGAAGGAAAATTATAACCTGACCACAGATCCAAAAACAAATGAGGGAATCCTGAGCATTGTAAAGGTAAGGGTGCTCTGCTAAAGTCTCATTACATTAGCCAGTCTTCAATGCTGATCCCTCTCTCTCCTCACCTAACTTTGCCTTGACCTATCCTAGCTCTGCCATTTTATCAAATGCTTACATTTTGAGATCTTCATTATGTAGGTTGAACCAATACTTCCAAGATGCTTATCAGTTTCCTTCTTTCTGTGTGAATGATCAGTATCTTATTTTCTCTATCATTCATTGAGCGACCCAGCTCTGAAGAATTCTGAGACGTATGGTTATGCTGTGACGATGTATGCGCCCTGGTCCTTGTGTTCTACCTGGAAGGTAGAAATGAACAAAAGGGAAAGATTGTGTTAATTGTGTTTTCTGCTTTCTCTAAAATCGATAAATCTTTATCAGTGACTGCTTCTTCACCGATTTATTGTCTTTTGAGTCTTCTCCCTTTTCTCAGAAAAAGTGATTTTTCTGTAATTATGGAGGTTTTATCTATCACAAATAGATACAAAATTGTTTCTCATTCCCTTCACAAGGGTAAGGAACACCCCCATTCTTCCTCTCCTATAGCTTCAGAGGAGGAGATGTTGGATATTTCTGGTTTAGCTGGAGTCCTTGCAGTAGATTCTTTATCTGAAGATTAATTCTTATTTTCCTTGGAGGACGTTACTCCAGCTGCTGATTTTCAATCACCTATGGTGTCTAGACATCAGGGAATACAACTGGGGCATTTTTTATTGAAACTGTGCACTCACCTTAACTTTAGAGGATTCTGCCCCTTATGTCGTATCTATTTAAACCTGCCTGTGTTAAGGTTTTTTTTCCTTTTCATCCTATCTTTGCCAGATTTATATACAAAGATTGTGAATCTTCGGGTATATGGTTTTAGCCACTTTTTTTCCTTTCTGGATGATCCCTCCCTTTTAGATTGTAAGCCCTCAGGGGCAGGGCCCTCCTTACCATCTTGTCTTAAATTGTATTGTGACTGTAATGTCTTCCTTATATTGTAAAGCGCTGTGCAAACTATTGGCGCTATATCAATCCTGTATAATAATTTTGTTTTTTAAATAGTCGGTTTCTCTTGAGGTTGACTTTTCTTTTTCTTACCTTGATAGGGCTTTGACTATTCCTATTGTTGACACCTCTTCATTTAGAGACCCTACTGATGAGAAATTGGAAACACTTTACTCTGGTCTGGGGATAAGCTTTTCTACCCCTGTTAGCTAGAGTCTGGAAAATAAAAACCGTGACTACCTGGTCTAAAGGCGTCCATACACCTTAGGAATATCGGCCGAATTTTCGTTTTCGTTTTCCACAGATATTCATGTGGCTGATGGGCAGTGTACAACCGCAAATACTGTACAATCGTACAAATTTTGTCTTTCCATCTGGTTAGAAAACTTCTGTCGAATCGTATAATTTTCGCAAGGTTGGTGGCATTTCCGTACGTCAAAAATTGTACGATTAACACTGCTCATGCGCAAACGAAAATCCGTGCGGTCGATTAACGAAATTCATCCAGGTGATCTCTGCTAAAGACTGCTAATTGAACCGTGCGATGGTCGGGGCAGGATGGGGCCGCCGTACGAAAATCATACGACGGTTCGATCATCGGACGATAATTTTCGTCCCATGATTGCTAGGTGTATGGGAACCTTAAGACCGAGTGCTGACTAAGCAGCTGCGAGTGTTGACCCACATTTTATTGATTGTGTCAATCAGCTGACAGTTGTGTCTCATTTTGTGTGCAATGCAGTTCTTGATGCCTGCCTAAATTATGAATTTCCTCTATTCAGAACCATTTGGCTTAAGTGTTAGTCCATGGAGCCTTTTTGGGGCTTCAAGTGTAATGTGGGAGGGGTTCTTGCCTTATAGTAACAGGCTTTCATTTTTGGCTTCGTGTCCCTGGCAGCAGCATCACCCTATATCTCAGAATTCTTCAGAGCGGTTTCCCACAATGGACTCCGAGAAAATGATTTTACAGTAAGAACAAAATCATATTTTTTTTTTTTTTTTGCAGCCTTTGGATTTTGAAGGGACCCCCACAAAAACACTTATTATAACGGTTGAGAATGAAGAACCATACTATTCATGTCAGAACTCCAGACTCAGAATGGACAAGACAGCCATGTCGCCCAACATAACTGTCTCAATCACTGTGATCGACGCAAACGACGCTCCCGTTTTTACCCCTAAAGTCAAAGTAATTCGAGAAAAAGAAGGTGTGAAGGTGGGGACAGTCCTGGGGACATTCACTGCAACTGACCCAGACAGGGTGCCAAACAAAATCAGGTACAGTGTCTGCATTAGTATGAAATTGTCCTTCAATGATACTAGCCAAGGTAGTTTTGTTCAACCAGGTGCTCTTGCAGTAGTTGGAAACAATCAGGAACATTTTGCTTAAGCAGCTGGATACTTCAATCCTCTAACACCCATTCACAATGATATGAACTCTTATAAATTTGACTTTTTATAAAATGTCTATAGTGCCAAGGAGAGCTGGATGTACCCCTAGCTAGAGAAGGCCTGTGCCTATAAGCAGCACAGACAAAGATGCCCAATCTTGTAAAAATATAATTTTAATACAACGTTACTTATGCATTGTCACTCATTTCTGAGCTGGGTTAGTGGCAATAATAATAAAAAAAATGTCCCTGTATAAAAGAGGTCATCATAGCAGAAGACTGTTGCTTTGGGTACCTAAGGGTAATGGAGGCTAATCCAGTTCTGGTGCCAAGTATCCATTAAAATCTCCCATTTATTGGATAGGTATAAAATAGCAGAAGATCCCGCAGGTTGGATGACGGTGGATGAAAATACCGGAGTTGTTACAACATTACAAGAACTGGACAGAGAATCTCCTTTTGTTAACGGAACTACATACACAGCGTTGGTCCATGCTATAGATGACGGTAAGCAAGGCTTAGTAATTAATCACTGATATTTTATATGTGCACCCTTTAGAGAATTATTTAAGCTACACAGTATTAGGTTTTCTCACATGCAGGTTCCTTATTCATCAATTAGATGTTCATATGACTTCCTCAATCTCCATCAATGCATGTTTCAAAGGATACTTTTCCTCAATGTGCTCTACACTCAGAATCCCCAAAATAAATATTTGTGCCTAATTTATTTTAGCAGTTTTTTATGATTTAAGCTCAATATCTGTCAAGGATATGGATGTCCTTTAAAGTGACGATGTCGTAATTTTTAAAATGTGAACCTTGCCGTTCCCTGCAGAGCAAGAACTTAAAGAACTATGAGGTAGGTGAAAATCACTCACCCTCATAGTTCGAACCGACGTGTGACAATGAAAGTGTCACACGTCGGATCAATAGATCGGGAAGTGAGCGAACACATACCGTCGCTCGCTCACTTCTCGATCATCTCCCTGCAGAGAGTGGTGACTGTCAGTCACGGCTCCCCACAGGGATTTCCCCCCCTCCGCGCTCCGATCCTCCAGCGCTGACTGGAGGAATGGACGGGGAGGGTGCAGGTACAGCTGGCTCTGGCTCTAGATAGGCAGAGCCCGCTGTCACTCACGCAGCTGGGTGGATCTCGACATTGTCTGGTTCCATCCTGACTGTGGCAGTCTCCATATACCACGAGCTGTAGCTCGCGATATACTGCGCTTTGGGTCACGGGAGGGCGCTAGTATATGTCCTCCCGTAACCCTTAAGAGAACTATGGGGGGAAACACTTACCCCATAGTTGTCTTCTAATACTCACCTTTCCCGGTACCCACACCACAAAACTCTTCTAGGTTTAAGATATATTGTTACTAAAAGATCTCCAGCACACTTCTGGGTGTGTCAGGTGCCTGGTCCCATGCTGCTTTCTGTGGTTCCTTAAGCCAGCCCCTGTGCCCTGCTATGATGTAAGGGTCAGCAGACAGAACGACACAGTGCAGTGGGTGATGCTGGAATCTGACACTCCCAGGAATATGGAAATCTTTTCAGCAACGGGGTCTTCAAGGTAGAGGAATTTGGTGGAGTGGGCAGCAGGACAGGTGAGTATTAGGTACTTGCTTTGAACTGAATGGCAGTGTTCAGCTTTTAGAAACAGCAACTGAGTCAGTTTAAACCTAATACAAGAGAATTTCACAAATATATCCACAGAAAATGATGGTATCATGCCTCGCATGGAAAGTAAATGCCTAAAACTTGAACCTTAAACCTTGCTTGAATTATTGGTCTCTAGAGATGACCATCCATTGAGGGACATGGTCCTACTCCTCTGTGTTTGTTCATGCTTTTGGTACTGCTATGCTACAAAACTGAAGCATGCTTGGAGTAAAAGGAGATATCATGGGCGGGGCCTACAATTTTTTTGTTTGGTGCCCAATTCTCCAGTAGGTGGCAGCATAACCTGAAGGTAAATGGTGAAACTAACCTTTAAAAGGAGAACTATGAGGTGAGTGCTTTTCACTCACCTCATAGTTCTAGCCGACCTGTGACAATGAGACTGTCACAGGTCGGCTCAGTAGATCAGGAGGTGAGCGAACACATACCAGCGTTCGCTCACCTCTCGATCCTGTCACGGCAGAGAGCAGTGACAGGGGAGGGACTGGATTCTCCCCTCCCCGCTCCGATCCGCCAGCGCTGACTGGCTGAACAGACGGGGGAGGGGGCGGGTACAGCTGGCTCTGCCTCTAGATAGGCAGAGCCAGCTGTCAGTCACGCAGCTGGGCAGATCCAGACATAATTGTCGGGATCCGCTTCAGCTGCGGCGTCTCAGTATACCGAGAGCTGTAGCTCGCGGTATACTGCGGCGTCTCAGCTCGCGGTATACTGAGCTTAGGGTGACGGGAGGACGCTAGTTTGTGTCCTCCCGTTACCGTTCGGAGAACTATGGGGAAAAGCCCTAACCCCATAGTTCTCCTTTAAAACTTCTTTTAAATGAGTTTTTGAAAATGTTGTGTATACAATCCAGAAACATAAGAAACCAGCTATATGAGGTCATCTTCAGCAACCAATAAGAAACCAGCTACTTACTGAGGGAGGGTCAAATGAAGATTGGTTGTTACTGTACTAAAAACGTTTGAGTTTATTTTCTAGCATGATGGAAAGTGCAATGATGTACAATAAAACAATCTCATTACACATCCTTCCTTCCCCTCTGCGCAGGTGAACCTCCGGGTACAGGAACTGGTACAATACTCCTCTATCTGTCTGATGTTAATGACCACACACCGAAGCTGGTCACACCATTCATGTACAGATGTGATCATCAGTTGGACGTCCCGTTTGTGGTGGAGGCTGCAGACCGAGATATGGACCCATTTGCTGGACCCTTTAAGTTTGATGTGTCTGATCATTCCCAAAGTATGAGTGAAACGTGGCAAGTCAAGCAAGTCTCAGGTTAGTTTTATTGATTTATGTTTCACCAACAACTCCTGGGGTGCAAACAGCACGCACACCTTTCATTGTTTCTGGCTTTCAGTCTAATGTCGTACATACACACAGTGGAGACAATTTTGGGTGGAAGTCTACTTACCATAATTTTTGTGACGTGGAGTTTTCTGTACAATTCATGCAAATGGTGGGAAGTTAAAAAACCCAGCTCGACTTTTCAGCTTATGTTGAAGTCGGCTACTGCAATAAATGGTGGTTTGCAGATCTTAAGATGACCACAAATGCTACAATCTGACTTAACAATCTCCTCTAGATTACCAAGAACTATGGGGTGTGATGGCCTGTAGTACATAGTTGTTGGTAAATGTCATTGTAGACTGAATAGAGATTGTTTGACCAAATGATAACATGTTCCATTATGTAGAACTGTAGAGATATCAAGCGCTGCGCAAACTGTTGGTGCTATATAAATCCTGTATAATAATAATATCAACACATCTTCAAATGTTCAGAGTCTCTACAGATTTTCAGCACAATCAGCCATCGTTTCTCAAACATTCATCCCGTTTTTATAATTGCACTGGAAACTTTGCTTAGTTTTGGACAGTATGTGATGGTTAAAACCTGTTTTTTTTGGCCGTGTCCCACTAAAGAGATTCACTATCACGTCCTGTCCTTCAGACACATCAGTTTATTAGGGCTCATTCACACTGGAAAGGGCCAGCGCGTACAGCTCTGTGCTGTGTGCAGGGTCGTACCGAGCAGCTCCCGGGAAGGACAGGGGCTGCGTGTGATTAGTATGCAGCCCCTGTCCCTCTCTATGGGACTACGCAGCCATACGGCACCCTACGCTCACCCTTCCTGCAAGTCCGTGCGGGTGTCCGTACGCTGACAGGATGAATCCTGTCTGTGTCCGAGACAGGTAACACGCACCCCTATGGACCTGCACTTGAGGTGAGCGTAGGGGGGGCATATGGCCGCGTAGTCCCATATAGAGGGACGGGGGCAGCGTACTAATCACATGCAGCACCTGTCCTTCCCGGGAGCTGCCTGATACGGCCGTGCACACAGCACAGAGCTGTACGCGCCGGCCGATTCCAGTGTGAATGAGGCCTAAATGTTAGTTTTGAAAAACTGTTAAGGTAGATAAAAAGTTTACATTTTATTCTGTAGATTGTTTTAGTGTCCATTAAAAAAGGCTTTTATTTTATTTGTAAATAACTCTGCAATGCTTTCTACCAGAATAATATTTTTAGTGTCATTTTAAACAAAGTAACAAATACAAGTGAAGAAAGTCAAATACGTTTATTATTAAGGGTTAGGAAAAAAAAATCAGCAGTAAAAGAATACACTGAGGAGGAGGAGAAGGAGTCGTCATTTAGGACTAATTAGGGTAAACAAAGGGTTAATAAGAGGTTAAATAGGAAGACATTTTACTGGTCAGGTTGCTTTAAGTGATGTGATATATAGACGAATCTCATCGCTTTGATCTGCAGAAGAACAGAGTAGATACAAAAGCAGCAATGTTACATTGTATCTCTGAATGTTGTCTGAACAATGTGGAAACCCTGTGGGGAGAATTTATGAAAACTGGAGCAGTTGCCCATAGTAACCAATCAGCTTCTCTCTTTCATTTTCAAAGCTTAACTGAACAAGCTGAAGAGAGAAGCTGATTGGTTACTATGGGCAATTGCTTTACACTCGCCCTGTGTTGTACCGCAAAGAAGTTTTTTTTGGGGGTGTGTGTAGCACACCCAATTAAAGTGAATCCCCTCTTACACAATTGCTACTGCAACTTGTCCTCAATATTTTCCTATTGCTCTCCTGGACAAATTTTGGATTTTTCCCTTACTTTCAGTCACAGAGGTCACCAAGACAAATAGTGGGGTGCATCCACCTAGCAGGGCACAAACAGAAATCTAAAACAGGGGTTCTAACCCATCCCCGATCCACCCAATACTAACACAGGCTTTAGCTTTATAATCAGGTTTCCTAAAGTGTATTTGAAGTGTTTAGACAATAAAAAGGACGGTGTAGTATCATCTGTGGTCTTCCAATACACATTGGTAAGGCCCAACTCTGTTCAGATCTACAAAATGCTGCCCGGTTTGTCTCTTTTTATTGGGGAAAAGACATGGAACAGGAAGACACAACAACAATACCGCAATGTATAAACATCACATGAGGGGAGCAGTATAGATGGGCCCTGGCTTGTACATCTGCTTTTTGTGTAATTGTCACATCTGTTTATGTTACAGATCATTCTGCAGAAGTCGTAATGCTGAAAAGTCTTACAAAGGGGAACTATACCATTCCCTTTGATATTTACGACAGGCAGGGCACTTACAAAACCCAAGACCTGAATGTCCGGGTGTGCTCCTGCCCCGATCGTTTGAACTGTGAGAAGATGGCACCAGCATCATATCAGATGGGAGGCGGGGCGATCGGAGCCATCTTGGCAGCTTTGCTCCTGTTCCTGTGTAAGTATGACGAGGGTTTGTGTCCTGCAGCTTGTTGACGGCCCCGGCTGTTCATCTTCTGACATTTTTCTTTCTTTTGCTAGTGGCATTATGTTTGCTGATGTGCTTCCTCTGCGGCTCTGGGAAAAAGAAGCACATATTACCAAATGATGAAGGGAACCAAACTCTTATCATGTACAATGAGGAGGGGGGAAGTGCATTGTCTCAGGTAAGTCAGAGTGCTTATAGAATGGAAGGGGCCGAGACATTGATCATTCTGTTGACACCGAAGAACCAGCCAGTGTAGTATATGCAGTGCAGCTTCCCTTCCCTGCTAAGAGATTGTCCTCTACACAGCTAGTCACAAATCAAACACGTCCAGTGAACATACCACCATGTAGTGCTCTCTCTTCATACACAGTTGCACTATGATAAACATATTAAAAACCCGGAGAGAAGAAACGTTTCTGCTGCCTGTGACATAGTTTGCTCTTTATCTTTATCCCTTTCTGTTTTATGTGACAGGCAAACCCGGCTGCTCTGATGGCGGCTGGAAATGGTACCAATGATTACGGCATTAAGGTAAACAGAGCTTTTATTTGTGGAAAAAATCAAGTTATACAGATTGCTGAGGGCTGCAAGAGCCCACAGCAACCAATCAGAAATCTGCTCTGGCCTGATTGGGATACTGTAAACTGAGACACGACTGACACGTTACTGCAGACTGTATTGTAGAGGACCAACCACCCCATGGCATCTGTAATGATAGGAATTGCCACTTATTTTGATAGTGTAGCTTTAGCGCTCTGGGGTGATTGTTTTTATTGTCTTCCAGGAGTGACAGCTATTCAATGCAAGTATAGTTTGCTTACTCTTTCTTGCTTAAGGCCTCATTCACACTGGAGATTAGGCCCGGTCAGAGGATTCTTGCAATTGGTGGTTGTGGACTGTTCAGCCTGTACAAAGCAATGACGGGCTGGCAGGCAGGAACCAGAGCTATCCACTGCTGTTTGCATGTGTCTGTGCATCTAGTGGTTATCTGTGGCTAGGGACAGATGACCAGCCCTGGGTACAATCTGTCTGCAACCAAGGGTGGCCACCTGTCCCTAGCCACAGGTAACTTCTATATGTGCGGACACATGACGCCCCTGTCAGTTGTCATTGGTTTGCACAGGATTCTTGGCCACAGCTGTCCACTCACAAATCCATGATTCTTCCTGCATGTTGACCCAAAAGTCTGTGTGCGGCCTAAGGGTACACTTTGTCACCTAGATTGTAAAACACACATTGTGATGTGCTAATAAAATGCTCGAGGGGGAGGGGTTTGCATTGCCTGCATATTATTTAGAATTACGAAATACCATAAATAATGAAAGCATTCTTTAATGCTTCCTTTATTAACTCTTCAACAAAACAATATCCAGATTGTCACAGCAGCATAGCGAGTTGCTTATTTAGACTTAATTTAACAAATGATACTTTAAGGCAGACCCCTGTGAATCCAGGAAAAACATTGATCCTTGTATTTCAGGAGTTGGGGAAAATAAAACTTAGTTTTACTTTGCTTATCCTTCGCTTCCCCCCAGTCCTGATCTCTTCCATTGGTCGCAGACACTCTGGCATCATCACGTACAATGCAGGACCAGCAGTCCTGCATTGTAATTGAGGATGCTCAGGATCTGCCTACAACCCAGAGAAGAGTGCCAGCTGCTGGGCAAGGAAGTGATAAGGTCAGTATAACGGCTTTATGTGTTCCCCTGAGACAGAAACAGGCTTTTAACCCTTGCAGCGGGTCTCCACCGCAATTTTTTACTTTACCAGGAGTTTACAAATTTAGTATCACCATCTTTTTATTCTACCGGGCCTGCGCTTTCAGAAAATATATGGTTTGGGGGGTCTTTTACAAACGCTAGCAACCCAGCAGTTGAAAATCAAACCAATAGGAAAAAATTGCAGAAAATTCAAAAATTGCTTGGCCAGCTGATTTGAAAAATGTTCCGGAGGGCTTGGCAGCGAAAGGGTTAAATATGTGTAGTTGAAAAATGTACAGTCCAGCCTAACATGGGAGTCCACAGCCAGGTCCAGTCAGCCAGTTTGTTACATTGACCATATTAACTGGAAGCCTGCCTTGCATTGTCTCTATTAGAGGACAATGCAAGGCAGCATACCAATGGAGCAGATTCTCCTAATGCTTTAGTATCTTGACACTTGTAGTCCCATAACATCTGGAGAGCTACAAAGGGGCCAACTGACATAGCTGGGCTCACCAGATGATGCTTGGAGGCTAATGATAGCCCCCCAGGATATCAGGAGTCTCCACGATAAAGAGTAAATCAGTGAAGACAGTGAAATCTCCAACATTCTGTTGAGGAGTGGCTTAAAAACAAATGGGGGGAAGGTTGCCACTAGATTGTCTGAGAGATGCAGCATAAGAAGTTGCGTGTGGTTCCGGGATATATATCACAGGGACCTTTATTTTGACTGAAGTTTGCCGTTAACATAACATTAAAGAGTTTCTCTCTCAATGATCTTTTAGGATAAAGAAGCTGTTGGGCGGGTGATATCTAATAGCTTGTCTCTGTCACAGGCTCAACAGTGGGAAGGGGTAAGTATTACCTACATGTCCATAGCAATGTAACAAGACTTCTAACTCATCATTGCCAAGCAGATTCAGAGGGAACTAGTACAGAATAAACAAAAGTCTTTACTTGTCATTCAGGAGAGAGACAGTTCCGGACGCATGAAGCCACGGGCACAGTATCAATCCTGGGAGGTTGTGAGTATTAACCGTGTTCTTGTCTTGTTACTTCATACATGGTGGTATGCTGGGTATATCATCATCTCTCAGCACATGTATGACCTGGAGTTCCTGCCTCCTCTAACTCCAGGCAACGCAGTTACTCCTTACCTATACCATGGCAGGACAACATTAGACACCTCAAAGTATAACTAAAAGGCAAAACTTTTTTATTTAGATGTGGATAGTGGAGGGGTTAGAACCAGCGTCAAGTCTTTATAGCTGTCTTTGTACCTGTTAGAAGGATTCGCTCTCTCCGATTGCCCCGACCCACAAACACCGAACAGGAAAATCTTGAGCTTTCCCCAGAATAGGAATAGACGAAATCTTCTAATGTGGTCACTTGTTCCCATAACAGCTATCTATAGGGGATTTCCCTCATATTGGAGAGATATCCTCTCACTTCCTGTGAGACTACAGGAAAGGAAGTGAAGGGAAATCTCTCCAATCTGACAACGATGGCAAAAATAAAACTGAGAATTGTTTCAAAGCTTCCCCTACTGTATGAAAAATGTAGATTCTCTGCAAGTTCTCACTTACTGATGAGGGACTATGTGACATGGAAGTTGTCTGTACATTTGCAAGATGTAATCAATTGTTTTTATTTGTATTAATGATTGTACAGTTTCACTACGGCTGACAGCATCAGTCATCATGGAGCTCAGCTGAGCATTGTCATGACGTGTTGTACAGGTTTAGCTATACAGTAGGTCCTGCATAGGGAAAGTCCTGGTCCTTGGACCCTCTGCTTTTATACACTAGAGCCGTGGTTCTCAACTGGTGGGTCGTGACCCAAAAGTGGGTCGCGACCCCTTGATCAGTGGGTCACCGCGTGCCTTCCACTTTTCTAGGTGAGAGGCTCCTCAGCAGCATTGTCAGTTCTCACGCCAAGCAGCCATTCAAAATAAGCTGCCTGGTGCTGAGTGTCAGCTTCAGATGGGATTGGGTTATGGCCGCAAGAGAGCTCCATCCATACATGCATTGCTTACAGCTTCCTCATGTGACCTGTAGAGGTGCCTGGACCGGAGTGATATCACATTCTGACTCACGGAACCTCTACAAGGCACGCAAGGGAGCTGTACCAGTAATGCACATATGGATGGAGCTCCATCACAGCCAGCAGCCCACACTGGACCTCAGGCTGAGGATCCACTCCAGTTCTCATAAGCTAGGGAGACTGGGTGGATCTTTAAAAATAAAATAAAAAAGTGTGTATGTGTGAGATTGTGTCTGTGATTGTGTGTGTCTGTCAGTGTTTTTGAGGGTCCGTTCACACCAGTACAGTGCGTTAATCACACAGCCCCGTACGATTAACACTCTGTACCACGCAAAATCGCACCTACAGCGAATTCTGGTGTGGGAGGTGTGTTGTATTGTTATATGTTTGAATGGCACCCCAAACGCACCTCCCATGCACAGTTCCATCACCCACACTGTAAAACGCGCTACCACAATGCCATGCGTTCCAGTGCGGTGCGACTTGTGTCATGACTTAATGACCAAGGACAAATGTGGGTCCTGAGGTTACACAGGTTGAGAACCACTGCACTAGAGCATCTGATAATCTATAAAAAGTAAAGCGCACAGCACATCATTCATAAGATGAAAAGAAGTATTATTATCTTTTTTCCATCTTTTATTGCATGACGGTGCTGCCGATGTTTAGCAGCCTCTTTGCATACATTTCCATGCACTCCAGCGATGGCTCCATGGCATTTCTCTGATAATAGTACTATCATGGTGACAATGCAGGTGCACAGCGTGGTCACCAGAAGAGTCTTCCTCAGATGTTGTTTTATTCTCATGAGATTTCAGCGGTCGGGTTTACAGATACTTTATGGAAACGAGTAATCTGATGGGATGTTTTGTTTACAGGATGGTGCTGGTGTTGGTGTGGGGAATGCAGCTGGAGCTGGAACCAGTGCTAGGCATCTGGCACAAAATGGAACTTGGACACAGGTAAGGCACTGTTATGTGAATGGGTGCAATTGTTCTTTTACCTTTTTAGGGGAGTTAGAAATACTGACCATGCTATGAATTCATCATTCAGAGGGAATAACAAACATCAGTGCTGGTTAAAATTTACCGGAGACCCCTGATGGGTACATACAAAAAACCAAAATGTTTTCTCAGTACTGATGTCTGCTGCTTATGAGGGGTCTCTATAAAGGGGTTGTTTTTTGTTTGTTCATTTTCTTTTTATAAAGAAGTCTTCCTGTTGCTCACAATTGTCCATTTGGTTCAAACCTCTCAATACCAACAGTTGTCTGCAGTACAAATACATCATCATCTCTTCTCTACTGACTGGCAGCCTTTTCTGTTGTCTGACACCTCAGTGTGCTCAGCTATGAAAATGAACTGACAGCCAATGGGAAAGAAATGGTTCCAGCCATTCGGGTAAGGAGGGACAGCCATTTGGGTAAGGAGGGACAGCCATTCGGGTAAGGAGGGACAGCCATTCGGGTAAGGAGGGACAGCCATTCGGGTAAGGAGGGACAGCCATTCGGGTAAGGAGGGACAGCCATTCGGGTAAGGAGGGACAGCCATTCGGGTAAGGAGGGACAGCCATTCGGGTAAGGAGGGACAGCCATTCGGGTAAGGAGGGACAGCCATTCGGGTAAGGAGGGACAGCCATTCGGGTAAGGAGGGACAGCCATTCGGGTAAGGAGGGACAGCCATTCGGGTAAGGAGGGACAGCCATTCGGGTAAGGAGGGACAGCCATTCGGGTAAGGAGGGACAGCCATTCGGGTAAGGAGGGACAGCCATTCGGGTAAGGAGGGACAGCCATTCGGGTAAGGAGGGACAGCCATTCGGGTAAGGAGGGACAGCCATTCGGGTAAGGAGGGACAGCCATTCGGGTAAGGAGGGACAGCCATTCGGGTAAGGAGGGACAGCCATTCGGGTAAGGAGGGACAGCCATTCGGGTAAGGAGGGACAGCCATTCGGGTAAGGAGGGACAGCCATTCGGGTAAGGAGGGACAGCCATTCGGGTAAGGAGGGACAGCCATTCGGGTAAGGAGGGACAGCCATTCGGGTAAGGAGGGACAGCCATTCGGGTAAGGAGGGACAGCCATTCGGGTAAGGAGGGACAGCCATTCGGGTAAGGAGGGACAGCCATTCGGGTAAGGAGGGACAGCCATTCGGGTAAGGAGGGACAGCCATTCGGGTAAGGAGGGACAGCCATTCGGGTAAGGAGGGACAGCCATTCGGGTAAGGAGGGACAGCCATTCGGGTAAGGAGGGACAGCCATTCGGGTAAGGAGGGACAGCCATTCGGGTAAGGAGGGACAGCCATTCGGGTAAGGAGGGACAGCCATTCGGGTAAGGAGGGACAGCCATTCGGGTAAGGAGGGACAGCCATTCGGGTAAGGAGGGACAGCCATTCGGGTAAGGAGGGACAGCCATTCGGGTAAGGAGGGACAGCCATTCGGGTAAGGAGGGACAGCCATTCGGGTAAGGAGGGACAGCCATTCGGGTAAGGAGGGACAGCCATTCGGGTAAGGAGGGACAGCCATTCGGGTAAGGAGGGACAGCCATTCGGGTAAGGAGGGACAGCCATTCGGGTAAGGAGGGACAGCCATTCGGGTAAGGAGGGACAGCCATTCGGGTAAGGAGGGACAGCCATTCGGGTAAGGAGGGACAGCCATTCGGGTAAGGAGGGACAGCCATTCGGGTAAGGAGGGACAGCCATTCGGGTAAGGAGGGACAGCCATTCGGGTAAGGAGGGACAGCCATTCGGGTAAGGAGGGACAGCCATTCGGGTAAGGAGGGACAGCCATTCGGGTAAGGAGGGACAGCCATTCGGGTAAGGAGGGACAGCCATTCGGGTAAGGAGGGACAGCCATTCGGGTAAGGAGGGACAGCCATTCGGGTAAGGAGGGACAGCCATTCGGGTAAGGAGGGACAGCCATTCGGGTAAGGAGGGACAGCCATTCGGGTAAGGAGGGACAGCCATTCGGGTAAGGAGGGACAGCCATTCGGGTAAGGAGGGACAGCCATTCGGGTAAGGAGGGACAGCCATTCGGGTAAGGAGGGACAGCCATTCGGGTAAGGAGGGACAGCCATTCGGGTAAGGAGGGACAGCCATTCGGGTAAGGAGGGACAGCCATTCGGGTAAGGAGGGACAGCCATTCGGGTAAGGAGGGACAGCCATTCGGGTAAGGAGGGACAGCCATTCGGGTAAGGAGGGACAGCCATTCGGGTAAGGAGGGACAGCCATTCGGGTAAGGAGGGACAGCCATTCGGGTAAGGAGGGACAGCCATTCGGGTAAGGAGGGACAGCCATTCGGGTAAGGAGGGACAGCCATTCGGGTAAGGAGGGACAGCCATTCGGGTAAGGAGGGACAGCCATTCGGGTAAGGAGGGACAGCCATTCGGGTAAGGAGGGACAGCCATTCGGGTAAGGAGGGACAGCCATTCGGGTAAGGAGGGACAGCCATTCGGGTAAGGAGGGACAGCCATTCGGGTAAGGAGGGACAGCCATTCGGGTAAGGAGGGACAGCCATTCGGGTAAGGAGGGACAGCCATTCGGGTAAGGAGGGACAGCCATTCGGGTAAGGAGGGACAGCCATTCGGGTAAGGAGGGACAGCCATTCGGGTAAGGAGGGACAGCCATTCGGGTAAGGAGGGACAGCCATTCGGGTAAGGAGGGACAGCCATTCGGGTAAGGAGGGACAGCCATTCGGGTAAGGAGGGACAGCCATTCGGGTAAGGAGGGACAGCCATTCGGGTAAGGAGGGACAGCCATTCGGGTAAGGAGGGACAGCCATTCGGGTAAGGAGGGACAGCCATTCGGGTAAGGAGGGACAGCCATTCGGGTAAGGAGGGACAGCCATTCGGGTAAGGAGGGACAGCCATTCGGGTAAGGAGGGACAGCCATTCGGGTAAGGAGGGACAGCCATTCGGGTAAGGAGGGACAGCCATTCGGGTAAGGAGGGACAGCCATTCGGGTAAGGAGGGACAGCCATTCGGGTAAGGAGGGACAGCCATTCGGGTAAGGAGGGACAGCCATTTGGGTAAGGAGGGACAGCCATTCGGGTAAGGAGGGACAGCCATTCGGGTAAGGAGGGACAGCCATTTGGGTAAGGAGGGACAGCCATTTGGGTAAGGAGGGACAGCCAATGGGAAAGAAATGGTTCCAGCCATTCGGGTAAGGAGGGACAGCCATTTGGGTAAGGAGGGACAGCCATTCGGGTAAGGAGGGACAGCCATTCGGGTAAGGAGGGACAGCCATTCGGGTAAGGAGGGACAGTGTCACTGTATTGAGGCAGATTTACTATCCAGCATTAGCAATTCTGAGGGTACATTTGGATTTCACACACACACACACACACACACACACACACACACACACACACAATTACTATCTAGAGATTGCTAGCGAGAGAGCTTATAAGAGCCTCTAATGTACAGGTGCTGTTAGGATAGGAAGAGGTGTATAGCAATGATACATTGGTGGTGTATGGATGGAGGTGGTGTCCAGGTAATACATCACAGTGACTGCTGCACAGTAAGAGCAGATTCTAGTTAGTACTCAAAGTGCTTCTGAAGTCCTAGCTGTCCGAACTCTTAAAGAAAACCCAAACTGTATGACATCATGTATGACATCATGTATGACAGAATCCTTGTTAATGTTGGAGAGGTAAAATAATAATGATGATGGTTTTACTTTTCAGCAGAGTCAGGGAGCGCAGGGAGCGGTGGACACCAGCTATACATCATTGGTGAGTACCAGACACAACTTTCAGTCAATCTGTGCTATGACTCGGGTGCTAATGATCAGAGGAAACCCCCCACTGATGATTAGGACATATGTCAGCCTGCAGGTAACACTTCATCCTGCACAGATATATCAGACCGAACAGGAGCATGGAACCCGATAGTGAGTTCATGATGCCATATGGCTGGTAGCGGGCCTTAGTGGTCACTCAACCTTTCTTTGTAATGCTGCAACTGGAATTGGCAAACCACATCCAGCGAGCTTTACAGTGGAGGCCCTTTTATATGTCCATGTGACCCCAAAACCACATCCGTATTTGATGGCCAACATGGGTGTCATCCCTGAGCAGTGTTGGGGTTATTCAGTTAGGATTGGGGCGGCTTCTAGTAAGCGTTTATCTGTCATCTACAGTTCATCCCCGCACTGCTCCCTCCTCATGTATCACAGGCCCCTCCCTTTTACATTGCAGGCCCTCAGGGGCCGGCCCTCCTTACCATAGTGACTTGTATTGTGATGTCTTCCTTATAATGTAAAGCGCTGTGCAGACTGTTGGCGCTCTATAATGAATCCTGTATAACAATAATGATAATACAATTGGTGAGATGGAACTTGGAATGTTATTCTAGGCGTGTGCCCAATACTCAGTGGGAGACGTATCAGACATGCGTTATACTTCTCGTGCCGTTGGTCCTGTACCAATCGTCTGGTTTTCCATCCTTACAGGGTCATTTTTGCCCCCTGACTAGCACACTGACCATAGCGACCATGGCACACCTCAGGTCAAGCTAGGCAGGTTCATCACCTCCGCGTTCACGTGCGTCCCAGTGGGGCTCCAACTACAAATATTATTCTAATAACATAAGAAAAGAAAAAAAAGTGACTTTATACTCTTGTGTGTTTCATTAATCAGCAATTTAGAGGGTTTGCCATAGCTTGTCAGCTGTAAACGCAACGCACGGTAGTCAAGAACGCAGCGCATACCAGTGAACGCAGCGCACTGTAGTCAAGAACGCAGCGCATACCAGTAAACGCAACGCACGGCAGACAAGAACGCAGCGCATACCAGTAAACGCAATGCACAGTAGTAAAGAATGCAGCGCACAGTAGCCAAGAATGCAGCGCAAACCAGTGAACGCAACGCACGGTATTCAAGAATGCAGCTCATACCAGTAAACGCAACGCACGACAGTCAAGAACGCAGCACACGGTAGTCAAGAACGCAGCGCATACCAGTGAACACAGCAGCCAAGAATGCAGCCCATACCAGTAAACGCAGCGCACGATAGTCAAGAACGCAGTGCATACCAGTGAATGCAGCGCACAGTAGCAAAGAACACAGCGCACAGTAGTCAAGAACGATGCACATACCAGTGAACGCAGCGCACAGTAGTCAAGAACGCAGAGCATACCTGTATACGCAGCGCACAGTAGTAAAGAACGCAGTGCATACCAGCGAACGCAGTGCACAGTAGCAAAGAACGCAGCGCCTACCTGTAAACGCAGCGCATACCAGCGAACGCAGCGCACAGTAGTAAAGAACGCAGTGCATACCAGCGAACGCAGCGCACAGTAGCAAAGAACGCGGCGCCTACCTGTGAACGCAGCGCATACCAATGAACGCAGCGCAAAGAATGCAGCACACGGTAGTCAAGAACGCAGCACATGTCAGTAAATGCAA